GCAACCACACTCTCAACAACCTTCGCCACAAAGCAAAGGTTGGAGACTGGACGATAGTTAGCCAATACTGCCGGGTCCAGGGAAGGCTTCTTGAGGAGAGGTCTCACCGGGTCCAACAAACATGTGGTCGCGTTCAGTCTACCCAGAATCCTGTCCACGTCCTCAGGGGTCACAGGATCAAACTCATCCCAGATAACATTCACAGGACATGCCTCCGTCATCCCCGCTGGGTCTACCCAGTCGGAGTCCAGATCTTCCCGAATCTGAGTGATTTTGTCATACAGATACTGAACAAAATCCTCAGCTCTTCCCTCCAAGGGGTCCTCCCTCGCTTCTTGGTGGAGCAGGGAGCGGGTCACCCTAAACAGGGCGGCCAGGCGATTATCTGATGATGCAATAAGAGCAGCGAAATGAGTACATTTTGCTGCTTTTATCGCCACTAGGTAATTCTTAATATGAGATCTTACCAGTGTCCGGTCAGATTCAGCACGACTGGCCCTCCAACTACTCTCTAGGCGTCTTTTCCGGCGCTTCATCTCCCTCAGCTCCTCGGTGAACCAAGGAGCCAGGTGAGATCGGTGCCAGGTCAGAGGCCGCAAAGGCACAACTCGATCCAGAGCTCCAGCGGCTGCCCTATCCCAGGCGGCCACTAGGTCTCCGGTCGAGGTGTGAGCCAGAACCTCAGGGATTGGCCCAAGCTCCACCTGGAACCTATCAGGTTCCATCAGGTGCCTGGGGCAGTACTATCTTATCGGTTCCGCCTCCCTGTGGTGGGGTGCAGCAGTTTGAAGGTTACGGCGAAGGAGAGAGTGATCCGACCATGACAAGGGCTCGATGACTATATCCCCTATCCCAAGATCACTCAGCCACTGTCCAGAGACAAAAACCAAGTCCAGTGTGTTTCCCCCCATATGCGTAGGGCCATTAATTAGCTGGGTCAGGTCCATAGCGGTCATGGAAGCCATGAACTCCTGAGCCACCTCAGACGCCTCACCCACGGACGGCAGGTTAAAATCCCCCATGACCATAAGTCTGGGGGTATCAACCGCCACCGCGGCGATAACATTGAGTAGCTCGGGCAGGGCTGCTGCCACATGGCAGGGAGCCAGGTACGTGATCAGCAAACCCATCTGAACCCCATGACCCCACTTCACAAGGAGGGTCTCACAACCGGCCGTCTGAGGAATAGTGGCCTCCCTTGGCCTAAGGCCTTCTCTAATAATAACCGCTACTCCCCCTCCCCTCCCCTGTGACCTCGGCTGATGGAATGCGTGGAAGCCTGGTGGGCACATTTCTACCAGAGGGACCCCTCCCTTCAGGCCCAACCAGGTCTCCGTAATACCCGCCAGGTCTGCTCCCCCCTCCTGAACAAGATCACAAATGAGGGGGGCTTTATTTACTACGGACCTGGCATTGCACAACATCAGTCGAAGGCACGGGCCCTGAGGGTCTGTGCAATCTGGAGAACGAGTGGAGCCTTGGGGGCCAGAGCACGCTACTGCTTGAAGACAGCGGATGCGCGCTCCCTTAACATGATATGGCCCCCTGCTCCCACCATATCTACCCCTCCCCCTCACAGTACCGATGGTAAAAACACAATCTGGACAAGCTCGACCTCCCCCCATTTCCTCCGGATCTCCCCCCCCGCTGCGCATAGTGGCCAGGCCCGACCTTCCCCTTGGTGGGTTATCCCCCAAACCCACAACTCTAGTTCCAATTTTACCCTCCCCCCCAGACCCCTTAAAAATTTATCCAAAAATTTACATAAAAGACCCCTCAACCCCCTCTTCGCCGCATGCCACCTCTCTGGGTTCCAAGACCCGTCATTGAGGTAGGCCCTCGATAACGTGGTGGGCCAGGCTTGCAGGAGCGGGGAGTCTCGCAATGCAAGAAGCTGTGCCCTTAAGTACATCTAAGCTTTGAGGTAGTGATAAGGTATGGCCAAGGGCTCCATGATAGTCCAAATTGTCCTGAAAAAAGGCAGGTTGACCATAAATGGGAGAGTCTTCACTGTCCTCTCACAGCAGTGGGGGAGTCCAATGTTCCAACCAATTCGAGGGTAATCGAATGGAGATGGTACATCCCATCGGTGGTGAAACAATGATAGAAACCGGCTCCGTTCGTCCTCCCGTAAGCTGCCATTTTCCATACAGCCAGCGTGCTAGATAACAAACAGAGCCAAGTCCAAAGTCTCCAGAAGAAAGTAAGCTGTCCACAATATTCATACAGGCAGCGTACAGATGGATAGTACAGGCAAGCTGTACTAGATAGAAAATAGGTGGGAACCGCCTCCATCGAACAGAAACCGGCAGGGCAAGCATGTTAGCCATAGGGCCTAATAATGGCCTAACTAGGACCGGGGGGGAGGGTTGACCAGGGCTACGCAGTAATTCCAACAGCCCCTCAACCCTTGTTAACCCCCTCCCCGGGTCTTCCAGGTCTTCCAACCATCCTATATGCCCAGTCATAGCCCCCCAAGATGGTTATAAAGGAGGCCTCACCATGGGAGCTAAAATTTGGGAATTACCCCAAAGCCCCATGGCGGCCCAAAGTTGCCAAGATTTTAAAAAGTCAGCGATGGAGGCTCCCACCTCGTGTTCTTCCTCGGCTCCAGCCATCCCAACAGGTGGCTGCTGCAACGGCGTTGGCGGAGGCGCTGACAACATCACGGGCACCACCAACAGCCACGTCTTCCATTCGCCCTCTCCTCCTTTGACGCCCACTTCCTTCCCCCCGACTTCTACCTCCGCTGCTTCGACGCGGGGTGTGTGTGTGCAGTCCGCGACGCCAGCGTCCCCACCGCAGGCGCCGCACCAACCATTACACGGTACTAGGGATTTGAACTGCTGAACTGCCGACCTTTCGATCAACAAGCTCAGCATGTTAGCCACTGAGCCACCGTGTCCCGATAATAACAGAATATCCAACCAAAAAAACCTCTTTCACAGCAATGCAGACAATATCTGTTTTTTCATTCTTAAAAGCTATTTAATGCGTTTTTTTAGAAAAGCAACATTTTCCATCATATAATTTCTTTTTCAAAGCTCCAACACCAAGGCAGTTGCAACAAATTTGTCAGCATCTTGGTGCTGCTACCACCAGGGTAACAAGCCGGCACCTCCAAGACTACAAAATCATAGCAAGAGGAGTTTATGAACCTAAGAACCCTGCACTCAAAACCACAATGCTTTTACTTCTCAAGCTACAACCTCTGTGCATATTTTTTTACCATGTAATTTTTTTAGAAGCTTCAGCAGCTTACTGGGACCACTCAGAAACTCTGCTTATGACTCACAGATAGTTTGTGCAAAGGATATGCTGGCTAAGAAATTCTGGCCTCAAAATCTGGAAGACATTCAGGATGCAGAAGGATGAAACTGAACGTTGCGTTTCTCTAAGACACATTAAAACTAGCATGAGGGGAATAGCAGAATATCAAAAAAAATACAACAACCCTCTACAATAAAAAGATAAATTAGGCACCCTCCCAAACTTACTAACACTATATATCTAACAAAATTGAGCAAATTAAAAGGCAGCCCGAAACAAACACCAGAGGAGCTAGTCACAGGGCCAGGCAGAAGCCACTACCCAATCAGAGGAACCCTCCGTTTTCTCAGAAGAAAAGTATGAAACTAACTCAGATCGAAAGATGAAAAAGATCTGTTATCTGGAGAGTAAGGACGAGCCGGTTACAGAGTAAACTGAATTTTGAAAGTTGTAGCTTTTAATTTGCTGTTGAAGCAGCAGGAAGAGCTCAATGGGTAGATTTGTGGGGAAGAAGATGATCCAGGTTGGTGTAGTGGTGAAAGCTACAGGTTAGAGACTGGGAAATACTCAGTTGCAGTCCGCCTAAAGTGTGAAGCCATCTGTGCAGCTTTGGGCAGTCCTATCAGGTCTAGGCCTAAGAAAGAAAGGGGGAAACCACTTGACTGACTTGAAGGCACCAAACCAGGGGTGAAATGCTCCCGGTTCGGACCGGATCGCCTGATCCGGTAGCGATGGTGGCGGGTGGTTCGGAGAACCGGTAGCAAAAATCCGTGCACAACCCCCATGCCCACCTGAGGTGTGCGATATCAGAGGCTTTTTTTTTTACTTTTAAAATAATTTTTTCTACAACCTGTTCAGCCGAAAAAATACTTTAAATGCTTTAAAAAAAAAAAAAGTTGGCCCTACCTTTCTAAAAAGATTAGCCTGGTGATCACTTAGCCATGTGGTTTGATGGGCTATTCTATTTTTGTCCTTTTTTTAAACAATTTTTTTTGGGGGGGAAACATTTCTTCTACCATGTATAGGCAATCAGGCCCTCTTTCTTAGGCTCCATTTTCTAGGCCCTGCTGCATATTTTTTCTGTGACCTAATGGAGACTTCAGTGCAAGCAAATTTACAGAATTTATACACAGCATTTAGGAGATATAAAATTTCCTCCTTCAGGAATGAAGCTTGGTGGTTGATGCTCTTGGACGCAGCCCTGGCCAGCAGGAGTGAAGCTGTCTCCCCTGCAGTGTCTGGCCTGATGGTGCTGCCATGTCCTAAAATCCTGGGAGCCACAGGAAATCAGATTTTGGGGTATTAGAGAGGTTTTGATCTCCACTGAGAGTCACCCCTAAGAAAGCTGATTGTGTAATTCTATAAAACCTTCATGAACTTTTACCACTGAACACATAGCTAATCTTTGTAAGATAAGCAGCATCACATTTCACTAGGCTCAGAAGTCAAAAACGACTTGATAGCATTTAATTAGCGGAAACATGTTGCAAAGGCCTTAGACAGAGGCTGGAGAAACATGTTTTTCTGCCTCCTGGTAGGAGATGGTGGTCAAACAGGCAACACCTGTGCCTAGAAAGCGGGTATCATCTGTGGTTGATCTTAAAGGAGTTAAAACCATAGAGTACTTTATTGCTAGAAAGGTTGGAAGGCGAGGGAAGAGTAGAAGGCAGTCGAGTTTCCTTTTGAAAAAGCACCTTTGGGACAGCCGAACTTCCTCTTCCGGATGACTGATGGGAGGAAGGTGGTGTGTGCAGAGCGGCTTTTGTGCTGTTTCCATGGTCGGAGCAGCAGCTGCCAGGTGAGTGGAGGGCAGCAGGTGGGAGGAGAGTCCGGGAGCAACTTGGGCTGGAAGCGGAGAAGCAACTGGGCTGAAGCCTCTCAGCTGCGGCTGCTGCAGGTTCCTTCCCTCCCCAAATGGAAGCCCACTGGTGCTGCAGGCTGGGAAACTGGGGGCTGCAATTTCTGCTGGTGGGAAGCTTGAAAAAGCCTCTTTCAAGTGCAGGTTGGTTCTTTGGGAATGGCTTCCCTCCAGAGGTTGTGGCTGCTCCCATCACTGGAGGGTTTGCAGGTCTTCTATTCCAACCTCCTGATCAAGCAGGAGACCCAATATCATTTCAGACAAATGGCTGTCCTGTCTCTGTTTAAAAGCCTCCAGTGATGGGTCTCCCACAACTTCTGAAGGCAAATCCTTCCCCTGGTTAACTGTTCTCAGCGTCAGAAGTTTCTCCTTAGTTCTAGGTTGCTTCTCTCCTTGCTTAGTTTCCATCCAGTTTCTAGTCCTGCCTTCAGGGGCTTTGGAGAATAGGTTGGCCCCTTCTTCTTTGTGGCAAGTCCTCAAGTATTGGAAGACTATCATGTCTCCCCTAGTCCTTCCTTTCACTAGACTAGACATTCCCAATTCCTGCAACTTTTCTTCCTATGCTTGCGCTCCAGCCCCCTAATCATCTTTGTTGCTCTTTTCTGCATTCTTTCCAGAGTTTCAACATCTTTTTTATGATACGGTACCAAACCTGTATGCAATTTTCTAAGTGTGGTCTTACTCTTTATAAAGTGGCACTAGTACTTCACATGACCATGTTTCTCTCTCTGTTAATGCAGCCTAGTATTGAATTAGCTTTTTTTTGCTGCTGCAATACATTGCTGGCTCATATCTAAATGATTGCCCAGTATGACTTAAAGGTCCCTCTGATTCTTGATGAACGTATCTTTTCTTTTATATATACACTGAGAGCATATGCACCTAGACAAATTCCTTGTGTGTCCAATCACACTTGGCCAATAAAAAATTCTACTCTATTCTATTCTGTTCTGTTCTGTTCTCTTCTGTTCTGTTCTGTTCCTGCTTGAGTCAGGTTCTACCTGTTCTGTAACAGTACATTTGGTTTTTCCTGCATAAGTATAAAACCTTATTTTTTTTCATCCATCGAATTTCATTTTGTTAGGTAGGGCCCTGTGTTCAAATCTATCGAGATTCTCTATCTTGAGCCTATCTTCTGAGGTATTGGCTATTCCTGCTACCTTGGTGTCATTTGCAAATTTGATGCGTTCCTGTTCGATTCCCTCATCTAAGGCATTTATGAAGATATTAAAGAGTACTAAAACAGGACCTTGGGGTACCCACTGCTTACTTCCCTCCATATAGATATAGTCCCATTAAGGAATACACTTTGAGGGTGGTTTGTCAGCCAGTTACGAATCCATCTGTGTGGATGGATGTACCTATCCCACATTTTTCTAATTTACCAAGAAGGTGGCTATGATCCACTTTGTCAACTGCATTACTGAAATCTATTTTTTAAAAAAATTTTAAATTATATTTTTATTGTTAAAGAATAACAGAAAGAAAAAAAAACAATACAAAAATCAATAGTAAGGAAAGAAAAATTTTTCCCCCCAACGTGCTATACAAACGGAAAGGAAGTTTTAGGAAATTGAAGTCTTCAATTCTTCCAGAAATCTCTTTGATAAGGTACTGGTGCCGATTCATCCAATCTCCCAAGTGCAAAGTCCACAAATGGTTGCCAAGTGTTCCAAAAAACATTTTATTTGTATATAACACTTCTAATTTTAATATCACAAGTCAATTTATCATTTAATGCAAATTTCCATGTTTCATTATACCATTCTTCTAATTTTAAGTCAACATTTAATTTCCAATATCTAGCAATTATAATCCTCCCCATTATAACCAAAATCCTCACCAATTCACTTGGTGAACAACTGGATATCTCCACTTGTTAATGTTGTTTCATTCAATATTAATAATAATATGGTTTCCAATTTCAATTTGACCCTCTTCTTAATTATTTCAAATATTTCATTTTCTATCCTAGACCAAAAAAGTTCAACCCCATTACATTTACACCACATATGAGCATATGTCCCGAGTTCCACTTTACATCTCCAACACATTTTATCAACTTTATTATCCGTTTGAAAAAGTCTTATTGGGGTCAAATACCACTTCCAAATAACTTTATAGTTATGTTCTTTAATCCTTATTGATAATGTCCTTATTATTCTACTAACCCAGTTCATATTCCAATTTTGATCAGAAATTTCAATACCCAGTTCTTTTACCCAATTCTCTTTCATTACCCTTTGTGAATTATTATCAGAGTTAATAATTTTATAAATTTTACTAACTAATCCCTTTGGCCCAATTTCATCTTTTATTATTCGATATGTCAAATTTTCAAATTCCGTTTCCTTTCTACTCTCATCATTCCTTTCTTTACATTTCCTAGGTAGGTTATAGTCTACTTTGTCAACTGCATTACTGAAATCTAATTATACTACGTATTGCATTGGTCCACTAATTTAGTCACTTTGTGTAAGAATGAAATAACATTTGTTTGGAATGATCTCTTTCTGACAAACCCATGTTGACTTCTGATTATATACAGTATTTGCTTGCTTCTAGGTGTTTGCAGATCTCTTGTTTCATTATCTTTTCCAGGATCTTCCCAGGTAGTGATGTCAGGCTAATTGGCCTGTAGTTTTATGATCCTTTTTTGAAGATGGGAACTACCATATTTTTCGGAGTATAAGATGCACCTTTTCCCCTCCTAACTACATCAGCTCTTTTCCAGTCCACCGGTAGTTCCTTGGTGCGTGAAGATCTTTGAAATCTATGGTTCAATGGTTCTTAGATCACCTCTGCTGGCTCCTTCAGAACTTTGGGATGTAATCAATGTAGTCCTGGTGGTTAGAACTTGTCCAGAATGGACAGATGTTTTCCTATCATTTTCTTGCCTGTTTTAATTTGTATTCCTAGTCTGCCTTTTACAGTTCTGTTTTTGGTAGGTTTGGCTATTTTTTCTTTTTGCCTGAAGATAGATGCAGATAATGAATTAAGTAGCTCTGCTGTGTCTCTACTGCCCGTCACTTCCTTGCCATCGTCTCCCATTAATGGACTGATTGTTTCCTTGACTTTTTTCTTGGTTTATACATGCTTTTAAATTATTTTTGACATTTGTTGCAAGTGTTAGTTCATTCTCAGCATGAGCTTCATTTCATCTTTGCAGATTCGGGCTATATGCTGGTATTCTGCCTTAGTTATGTGCCTCTCAGGTTGACCGTGCGAGACGCAATCAAAACACAGCAGCACCCCTTTCAGCTCTTTTTGGCACGCTGGTTTATTTGCGTCCGTGGACGGCTACACGCTGTGACTCGTAAAGACGAATGAAATCGGCGCTACAGTGTACTAAAAATGGGCGTTTATATAGCCCTCCCTTCTTATTAACCCTTTTAAACCATGGCCCTGTTTATCACCACACCCTTGTTAGCGCGTAAGTGTCCTAAGCTGGTTCTCAAAGGTGCTGGTTGCAGCATCATCTGGAGACGTCCTAAGCCCGTCGCACCCGATACCACCTCCCCTCGCCCCGCATATGGCTGCCTGCACCCAGTGCCACCACCACCAAGTATGTATATGTCCCTCGATGCTTTCAACACGCGTTAGCGGTGTCGAACAGGTTGCTAGGCTCGACAGGCAGCTCCCCGTTCACCAAGTGTCCTTCTGTAAGGGACAAATTACACATATTATCAGATTGTTGTGGTTTGTGAGGATATAGTTTATGAAATCGTCGAATTATACGACTCGCTTTCATTTGCTCTGCGGTATCCAGGAAGCCTCCTCTATTGGATAGCCCTTCCATTTAACCAGGTAATGGAGAACCCCCCGTTTCCATCTAGAGTCTAGGATGTCATCAACCTCGTAATGACCCTCTGTAATCGGACCAGGACGTTCAAATGTTTGGGTATGGCTGGTGGGTTTGAGAAGTCTACTATGAAACATGGGGTGAATCTTCCCCAGTAACGGAGGTAACTTTAAAACCACAGTCACAAGATTTATTGTCCTCACCACTGGGAACGGGCCTAAATATTTTGGTCCCAGTTTCCTACTAGGCAGTCGTAGTTTGATGTACTTGGTGGAGAGATATACCACGTCCCCCACCTTAAAAGGTTGGAATGGTGCACGTTTTTTATCCGCCTGGGTTTTATATACGCGATAACAGATTTATCCACTGCTAAGTCCCCATAAACGGCAGGTACACCAACAGGACATGTATTGCTATCTATCCCCAAAGCCACCCCTTGCTCTTTTGGGATCTTCTGGATATCTGGATCTGGACCTAGCGGCAAATGGAGTTTCCTGAATTCCCCCTCCCACCAGATCATGGGTTTCCATTTGTCTAGCCAGGCCAGACCCAGAATCACGGGCTCGATCATCGTATCCACCACCACAAACCGTATATACTCCCAATGGGCCCCTATTTCCATCCTTACCAACTCCGTGACCTGGGTTACCGGGGCCCCCCCTAACGTGGATCCATCCATTTGCTCGAACGTTATCGGGGGTTTTAGTGATCGTAACCGGATACCCAAACGGGTGGCTACAGTACGTCTCATCAAGCATCGTGTACATCCAGAATCGATAAGGGCCTCGTGTTGTACCCGTCCCGCCCCCTTTAACGGGATTAGTGTGATGGGTATGAGGAAGGGACGAATGGGCTCACTTACCATCGGGTCGCTGGTATCCTCTTCCTCATCGCTATCAGCCACTACCACGGGGACTACACCAGGGAGTATAGCAGGACCCGGTCCCCCTGTGTTGGTTCCAGTGGGACTCTGTCCTTGCTGTGACAGGGCCCTGGTTTTCTCTGGAGTTGGTCGCCCACGGAGCTTCCCACTGGTTGTCGGAACGTTTGGCCCAGGTGGTTGAACCGGTGGCCACGGGCACTCCAGAGCCCTATGGCCGGGCTGGTTGCATCGGAAACAGCGTAATGTTCGGCGTGTGGAGTCAGCCACACGGGGATCGAGCTCCCCTCTCCCTACTGCTCTGACGGGACCCGGTCAGTCTGGCTGGGGTCGGAGGGGGATCGCGCTCACAGCACCCTTCACCAGAAACTCTCTCAATCCCACGTCTAGGTCAATAGCTGCTTTACACTACTCGGACAGGCGGGGTGGCATGCCCCAATATACGCAGGCCTGTCTTAGTTCACGATCCAAGCCAAGATGGAATTGATGAACAAGCATGCGTTCGGGCCAACCCCTCACCCTCCCTGCGAGCCGACAGAACTCCTTTACATATTCCTTTGCTGGATGTCCCCGTTGTTTCAGGGCTACGAGCTCCCCCTCAGCCACCTGGGTTTCTGTATCATCCTCAAACTGTACCCTGAGTCCTTCCAGGAACAAACCAACATCAGTGAGCTCTCGAGCGTGATCATTGTGAAGGTCCGCTACCCAGTCAGCAGCTTCCCCTGTTAAGGTTGTTGTTATGGCGACTACCATGGACCACTGGGTTGGATACAGACGCCCATATAGGTCAAGGTAGCTAAGTATCTGGCTCAGGAAAAGGGCCACACGGTCTGGGTTGCCATCGAACATGGTCTGCAAGGGGGCGGTCCCCAGACCGGTTGGGGGCCCCACACCCCAGCCTGCCCAACCGGCACAGCTGGATAAGCCATCGGTCCAGCAGTCGGAGCCGTACCCGGGCCTGAAGGGCCCCGCATTAATCCAGACGCTGTCCCTGTAGCCATGCCTCCCAATGGCCCAAATGACTGTGTTGTAGCAGAATGGGTAGCCGGGGGTTGGGTATCGCTTTGAGAGGGACCCAACCATAGCTTGGGGCTAGCCAATCGAAACCTAGTCTCTGTCCCTGCAGAAGACGCTGGCCAGCCTGGGCTGGGCTCCGCCCCCGCCATCCATGGTTGCCAGGACTGCGCATCCCGGAAGCTAGCTTCCCCAAAACGCTCTTGAAGGACTTCTATAGTTGAGTGGCCCAAACCTGTTGAATAACTCCACTCGCCGTCGTCATCATCCACCCAACGACGCTCTCTCCAGCGGTGGAAACGTTCGCTGTAAGGGAGCGATGCTTGGCCCTTCGGGGCTCCTGTCGGGGCTGTCAAGGCAGGACTCTGCCACCACTCCCCCAACTCCGTCGGGGAGGGGGGCCTACTCTTTGCTGTGACAGCATTCTTCCCCTCCTCTCCTTGGCTGCGACCGGCAGCGCTCTTTCGGACGAATCGAAGGTGGATCCTCAGCTGGGCTTTCTCCTGATGCCGGCGAGTCCTCTTCCTCTGGGGGCGGTGTTGCAGCGGCGGTTGGGTCCACCCCCTCCGCCATCCCGCTGAAGCAAGTATTAAGAGCAGCGCCGATTTCCTCTCAGGTTGACCATGCGAGACGCAATCAAAACACAGCAGCACCCCTTTCAGCTCTTTTTGGCACGCTGGTTTATTCGCGTCCGTGGACAGCTACACGCTGTGACTCGTAAAGACGAATGAAATCGGCGCTACAGTGTACTAGAAATGGGCGTTTATATAGCCCTCCCTTCTTATTAACCCTTTTAAACCACGGCCCTGTTTATCACCACACCCTTGTTAGCGTGTAAGTGTCCTCAGCTGGTTCTCGAAGGTGCTGGTTGCAGCGTCATCTGGAGACATCCTAAGCCCGTCGCACCCGATACCACCTCCCCTCGCCCCGCATACAGCTGCCTGCACCCAGTGCCACCACCATCAAGTATGTACATGTCCCTCGATGCTTTCAACACACGTTAGCGGTGTCGAGCAGGTTGCTAGGCTCGACAGTGTCTCTCTTTCAATTTTTTATACTTATCCTTTTTGTCTTTCAGTTTATCAGAGAGATCTTTCTGCAACCATGCTGTTTCCCATGCTCCTTGCATTGTTTTCTCCTTCAGGATTTTTATGCAAGAAATTTTGCTTAGGCTCCGAATTTGTTAAAATTAGCTCTTCTGAAGTTTAAGACACTTGTTGGATTATATTCTATTACTTGTATTTGCATTATACTGAATTCCATTAAGATGTGGTCACTCATCCAAGGTTCCGACAACTTCAACTCCTTCTATCACTTCTCTATTAGTAAGAATTAAGTCGAGTATAGTTTTTTCTCTAGTTCCCTCCTCTACCTTTTGGATGACGAAGTTGTCGCCTAAATTGGTTAGGAATCTGTTCAGTCACCTACTTGCTGTAGAGTTTATCTCCCAGTTTATATCACGACAGTAAAAGTCTCCCGTTAGAACTTGATGTTTGTTGCATTCATCCTGGTGGGCTTCTCATGAGTAGTCCAGATTAGAGAAAGCACAAGGACAGGTGTTTCTCGTGATGAGAGAGCCCAGAGCTGACTCTGTCACCCTCTTTTATTATGCAAAGGTATAGGGCGTATCAGAAGGCATGATTACAACTATACATTCTCATATTACATCTGTGATACAAAGGATTTTCTCCATATCTGGACATAACTTTCACATCCTACCATATTACAGTAAATCACGTGAATTCTAGGAAAGCAATACTTAAGGTGCAAAACAAAACTTAACTCTGGCTGTGTTATCATATTTGGCTTTGTTCCCAGCATCCCATCACCTGCCAACAGAGAGGCCCCGTTCTACAAGGAGATGTCTCTGCTTATGCAGGCACAGCCTATGTTATTAACAAAGAGAGAACGAATAGGGCCCTTCAGAGAGTATCCATATGAACCCGCTTTTCATAGTCAGATTATTTCGGTGCTAAGCTCCATACACGTGTCCAACCAGTTAAACTGGTCTATACATGTACTATGACCACCGCATTCCCACAGATGTTGCCCTCTTGATATAGTTTGTAATCTACATGTGTATTGAAAATGACAGATGAATAAAATTTACAAGTTTTTTTTACTTCCATGTCTTGCCAATAAGTATGGTATTTCCTGTCCCACCATCCATGTATTAACCAGGTTCAATTGTGCTTAATCCAGCACTTCTAAGAAATAGCTATTGAGGATCTTTTGACATATTTGGTTGCACAGGTAGTCCTCACTTACCACTTCTTCCCTGAGACTTCAAGTTACTATGGCACAGTAGAAGCAGACGTGCACCTAGTCCACAGAATTTGTGGTAATCCTAGCACTTGTTCAGTGACTGCACGTCAGCAGTGACTCTAGTTTTGAAGGTTTAGGAAAAGAAATCACAGCAATTCGGGTTCTGCCAATAGTTTCACATTTATCATGGCTGCAGCATCCCACACTCACGATCCCAATTTGTGGCCTTCCCAGATAGCTTCTGACCAGCAAAATCAGTGGATATATTGGCAGGAATTTGCAAGTCACGGTCTCATGAAATTGCCTTTAACAACCCACAGTAATTTGCTTAACAACTACAGAGAAACAGATGTAAGTTGGCACTGTCATGTGACATCATGCTTAATGATTAGTGATGCTCAGTTCCAATTGTGGTAGGTTAAGTGAAGACTACTTGAATTGGAATTTCACCAGAGGGGTTGTAGACAGTATTTTCTGCTCTTATTTGCAGCTGAGGACTTCCATGAGCAAAAGTGGTGCTTCAAAGCTTGCAGAGGCTTTCGGCATCATTTCATCAGCTAAAGCCCCCACATCTCTAAATTTAGCTCCAAAGGTATGACTGTAACTAAATTGGGACATTTTGTCAGGCTTGAAAGACATAGATTTTCTCCCTGTAAACATGTGTAGGTGGGTGTATCTTTATGTCTCTCTATGCATATATCTGCAATGATATAACCTATCCCCAACACTTCAAGATATATTTGATGATAATACTTTGCATTGCTAAGAATTTATGATTAACCCAACTAAATAACTGAATTTGATTGAATGGATATTTGAACATGGATCTCAATAGTACTCCATGTGTCATATGAATCATCAATAAAGTAAGTGATTATTCTAGTATTGGGGCATGTTTGTTTTTTCATCGTAATATATACTTTTTTCTTTTCTCACATCATCTCTAATCATTTTATAAACAAAGTTACACTTTTCTTTGAATCTTACAGACAAAGAGGATGGCAATAACAGCACTCTGGACAACTGTAAATAACAAGCAAAGTTGAAAAGGGAAGAAAATCAAGCCAGAAATCAAAATATGTTCCGTTTCCTTCAGAAAATCATACAATGATGCTCTTCCTCCAGCAGCTGTTAGACAAAAGAGAGAAAATCAAAAAAGAATAAGCAGATTATGCAGAACTGAAGGATACATTACATGAAAAGTGAAGAGAGATTATTTATCATTCAGAAAAAGAGGGAAATATCTGGAAGTCCGTGAGGAGGAAACTGTCAATAGTAAAGTCACGTAGAACAGACAGGAATACAGGCTTCTCCCTGTGAAGAAGAAAACGGCTTGAATGATAGCACCACTAAACAAGGCATTGTCCATATTTGTTTACCTCCTCAAGAATACTGGCTGTAGAAAAGCTCCATAGATTTGCCTATTGTGGGAAAAGCACAGATTGCAAATGTCCTGATTATGGGAAAGTCACAATTCCTGCCTAGGATTAAACCAGAAGATTCACATAGGAGAGAAATGCTTTGAATGTTCTGATTGTTGGAAAACTTTCAGTTATAATTCCAACTTGGTGATAGACCAGAGGAATCATAAAGGAGAAAAACCCGTTCAATGGCCGGATTGTGGGAGAAGTTTCAGTCATAATTCCTGCCTTACTCCATGGAGAAACCTTATGAGTGTCAAGATTGTGGGAAAGGTTTCATTAGAAATTCCAACCTCCTGAGACACAGGATCATTCACACAGAAGAGAAACACTTTGAATGTCCTGACTGTGGGAAAAGCTTTAGTAATAATTCCAATCTGCTGACACACCAGAGGACTCACACAGGAGAGAAACCCTTTGAATGTCTTGACTGTGGGAAACGTTACAGTCAGAAATCTCACCTGGTAATACACCAGAGGACTCACACAGGAGAGAAACCCTTTGAATGTCCTATCTGTGGGAAAAGCTTTAGTAATAATTCCAATCTGGTGACACACCAGAGGACTCACACAGGAGAGAAACCCTTTGAATGTCCTGACTGTGGGAAACGTTACAGTCAAAATTCCCACCTGGTAGCACACCAGAGAACTCACACAGGAGAGAAACCCTTTGAATGTCCTATCTGTGGGAAAAGCTTTAGTAATAATTCCAATCTGGTGACACACCAGAGGACTCACACAGGAGAGAAACCCTTTGAATGCCCTATGTGTGGGAAACGTTACAGTCAAAATTCCCACCTGGTAGCACACCAGAGAACTCACACAGGAGAGAAACCCTTTGAATGTCCTATCTGTGGGAAAAGCTTTAGTAATAATTCCAATCTGGTGACACACCAGAGGACTCACACAGGAGAGAAACCCTTTGAATGTCCTATCTGTGGGAAACGTTACAGTCAGAATATCCAGATGCTATTACACCAGTGGACTCACACAGAAGAGAAACCTTTTGAATGCCCTCTCTGTGGGAAAAGCTATTGTGATACTTACAATCTTCTGAGACACCAGAGGACTCACACAGGAGAGAAACCCTTTGAATGTCCTGACTGTGGGAAACGTTACAGTCAAAATTCCCACCTGGTAGCACACCAGAGAACTCACACAGGAGAAAAACCCTTTGAATGTCCTATCTGTGGGAAAAGCTTTAGTAGTAATTCCAATCTGGTGACACACCAGAGGACTCACACAGGAGAGAAACCCTTTGAATGCCCTATCTGTGGGAAACGTTACAGTCAGAATATCCAGATGCTATTACACCAGTGGACTCACACAGAAGAGAAACCTTTTGAATGCCCTCTCTGTGGGAAAAGCTATTGTGATAATTACAATCTTCTGAGACACCAGAGGAGTCACACAGGAGAGAAACCCTATGAATGTCCTGATTGTGAGAGATGTTTCAGTCGCAATTACACGCTGGTGATACACCAGAAGACTCACACAGAAGATAAAGCTTTTGTATGTCCTATCTGTAGGAAACATTTTTGTTATAATTCCAGTCTTGTGAGACACCAGAGGACTCACACCATGAAGAAATCTTTGAAATGACTAGTCTGTAGACATTACTTCAAGCATAAATCATCCCTTATTGCACACAAGGTAATCTATATGAGGAATAGTAGATGAGTTTAGAGAATGCTGGAATTTCATTTGTGATCTCCCATTGAAAGTTTAGATGAGAAATTGATTGTTTGAATTTTGGCCTGATTCATTTTGCTCAAACATTTTTCAGGATTAAATTCGTAGGTGGAGAGAAAAGGAAAATGGGAAATGGTTAACTAGTTTCTGGTTATTAGCAGAAGCTTCTGGATATTTCCTTTTCCAGAAGTAGTTGAATTCCTCCAAAAGGAATTTTGGGTGGAGCTTTTGTATTTTGATTATGGAATTCCCACATGTGTAGTTTCAATCTTCTACCTTGGTTTCCACCCAGATTCTGAGCCCCAGAATTCCGCAGTCGGCATAAAAGTAGTCCTCAAGATATGACTATTATGGACCTTGAATTATGGGTGCATGTTGCAACGGCTGTTAAGCGAAATTGCTTTCCTTAACTACCCAAATCCCTCTGCTCTCCCTGAGGCAGCCATTAATCAAATATGTGAATCGCTTTTTTTTTTTAATTTGATTTATATGCCGCCCTTCTCCGGAGACTCAGGGCGGCTTACAATGCGTTAAGCAATAGCCTTCATACTTTTGTATATTTTTACACAAAGTCAGCTTATTGCCCCCACAAACTGGGTCCTCATTTCACCTACCTTAGAAAGGATGGAAGGCTGAGTCAACCTTGAGCCTTGGAGAGATTCGAACCTGCAGAAATTGCAGGCAGCTGTGTTAATAACAGGGTGCTTAGACCACTGTACCATCAAGGCTATGCTGAACACTGTCTACTCAGAGCTGGGGAAAACTCTTGGAGATCTAGTGCATGGCCAGGCTTGCATGCCATAGGCATCTCTAGGCCCCCTCTCCCTCCAAGACATCCTTGTACTCTGTATCCTAACCCTTGTGTCCCCTGGGCCTTTCACTCCCTCCCAGCGTCCCCTTACACCTGACTCCCACCCCACCCAACCTCACACCCTCCTCCTTCTTACCTTTTGAATATCTCTGAACCTCATGGTGGGGACAGAGGGAAGGACATGCATCCTTGGGCCTCATGATTTTGTCCTGGAAGTAGCCACCATTTTCAGTGGACCCTGGATTCATCCCTGCTGTGAACTGTGGTAATGAACACGCCACACTACATCCTGCCACAAACGGCAGCTTGCATGGCCACTTGCGGCCGCAGAAGACGTCAGATGGCTGTGCAACAAGTGTCGGGGTGTGCTTGCCCTGCTGCGATGGTCCTAAAGTAAGCGGCTAAGAAATCCTCCAAAACTAAGAAGTGGGGCTCATTTTGAGCCCCAAAAGAAAATAAAACTAGGTCTTATTTTCAGGGAGACGGGTATGTATATGCAATTCTATGAACTCACGATTGACCCAAGTCAACAAATAAATTTCATAACTGAATGGCTGTCAGGTTCCGAAATAAAAGACTGCAAATCTTGATGATGATGGTTAGAAGATGCTCTATCGGTACAGACTGACATCCATAAATAATGAAAGGAAATATTGTTGGAGTTATTGCTCTGTGCTCCCCACCACCTTATAAAGTCTTGTGCCTAAGCAGGGCATTAAAGCAGCCCCAATCTTCTACCCACCCTCCTAATCCAAGGGCTAGCCACCCACACACTGGTCATACCCACCTCATTCCTACCTACTTCCTACTGCAGGGAATGTCAGTAAGCCACAATCAGCCCTAACCAGCCCCAGTCCTGCCAGCACTTTCAGCTCTTTCAGCCCAGTCTTGCCAGCAGTTTCAGCTCCCAGTTTAGGCCAGCATGTCCAGGGCTGCTAGGCTTACTCCTTCCCTCTGGGAGCCTCCCATCGCTCGGAGATGCTTGCAATTCAACCCCGGAGAAGGCTGCTGGCTGCCTTATGATGTCATCCTTCCCTTGAGGAATGAGAGTAGGCTGTAGCAGTGGCTGGCGGCCTCCTGGAGACTAGGATCAAGGTTAGCTCGGTGGGCTGAGGCAGCGCTAGCTGCGCCGGGGATGACATGTGGACCCCTACCATGAGGACCACGCCTGGAATATAAAGATTACAGTGAGTGGTAGCACAGGTCAGGGGCCCCAGGTTTGTCTGGATTCTTCCTGTGGAATCTAGTGGTCAGTCTCGGGGCCTTGACGTCCTCCATCGGGACCCAGGATGCCTCTGACAGCAGATACCCTTTCCACATTATCAAATACTGGAGTTTCTTTCTGTGCCAGCAGGTATCTAGTATGTTCTCTACCTCATAGTGTTGTTCCCTTCCTACCATGGTAGGAGGTGAAGGGGCAATCCTGAGGCCCCTCAGGGGAGTTATATGGACTGGTCAGAGTAGGCTACAATGGAATACCGGATGGGTTTTCCCTAGTAATCGGGGAAGACGGAGTTGCACGCTTACCGGATTAATGACTCGTATTATCGGGAAGGATCCTATAAACCTAGGGCCTAGTTTCTTGCAGGGATATGGGAAGTTTCGGATACTTGGTAGAAAGGTACACTGGTTGACCCACCCTGAACGTGGGTGGGGCTCTTTTTGTCCCCCGGCTTTTTGTAACCTGTAGCCGTGTGGTTTAGGGCTTTGTTGACGCTTCCCCATACATTCCTCATTCGGTCTGACCATTCTTTGACTCCTATATTGGCTGGATCTATACTAGGGCACTCTGGTATCGGCATGAACTCTCTTCCCGACACTGAAATGGAATGGAGTAAACCCTGTACTGCTATGTACAGCATTATTATATGCTACTTCAGCATATGGCAGTAGGTCTGCCCAGTCCATTTGCTGATGTTTGATATAGCATTTCAGGTAACGTTCCACCATGGCATTGGCTCTTTCGGTTGCCCCATTGGTAGCAGGATGGAACGCTGAACTGAAACCCTGCGATGAACCAATTCTTGTCAGGAATTCCCGCCCAAATCTGGCGGTAAATAGCACCCCCCTGTCTGATATTATTTTCTGGGGTACCCCGTGGAGGTGATAGACATGAACTATAAACAACTTAGCTAACCACCTGGCAGAAGGGAGACCAGGACAGGGTATAAAATGGGCTTGTTTAGAGAACATGTCCAGATGACTGTATTTCCTTGACTCTCTGGTAGCTCCACGATAAAGTCCATGGCTATCTGTTCCCAGGGATGTGTGGGGTCTACTATTGTTTACAATAAGCCTAATGGTTTGCCTGGTGGGGTTTTTTTGGTAGCGCACACCACACAGCTCCGTACATATTCCGCTACATCTTTTTTCATAGAGGGCCACCAGAACTGGCGATTGATGAGGTGCAATGTCTTTAAATACCCAAAGTGTCCAGCAGGTCGATTGTCATGACAGCACTGGAGTACCTTTAACCGCACATCCGGGGGAACATACAGCTTTGACCCCTTCCAAACAAAGCCATCCCTAAGTGTAAGGACAGAGCAATTTTCACTATACCACTGGTCTCTTGGTAATGCGGTTTGGATGGCCTGCGGAACAGCCCCACTGGAACCTGCTGGGTTATAGTTGCCGACTGGGCGACAATCAGTGATTCGGTGGTTTCGGTATGATGGTATGATGGCTTGCACTACCTCCTCCCTGGTGCTCTCATATTGTGGCTTCCGGGACAGAGCATCAGCCAGGAAATTTCTCCCAGTGGGTATGTATTTCAAAGTGAAATTGAATCGTCTGAAATACAGAGCCCACCTCACTTGTTTTGGTGACAGCCTCCTGGGTTGTTGCAAAGCCCCCAAGTTCTTGTGGTCCGTCCACACTTCAAATGGTACTCCACCACAGGGGTGAAATCTAAAATTTGTTATTACCGGTTCTGTGGGTGTGGCTTGTGCAACCTTAAGAGGTTGCACAAAAAATACTTTTAAAAGCTTCTGACGATCAAGCAAGTCAGCTGGGATCACCAGAGTCTTTTAAAGGCATTTTTTTACAGCCTCTTCAGCTGAAGAGGTTGCAGAAAAAAATACTTTTAAAAGCTTCTGACGATCAAGCAAGTCAGCTGGGATCGCCAGAGGCTTTTATAGGCATTTTTTTCCTACACTCTCTTCGGCTGAAGGGGTTGCAGAAAAAAATGCTTTGAAAAGCCTCTGGTGATCCCAGCTGAGCCGTGCGATCATCGGAGGCTTTTTTTTAACTTTTAAAAGCATTTTTTTCAGCTGAAGTGGTTGTAGAAAAAATGCTTTTAAAAGTAAAAAAACCCAGCCTCTGATGATCACGCAACTGAGCTGGGCATGGGGGGGGGGGTGGCGCAGGAATTTTTGCTATCAGGTGATCCGGTCCGAACCGGGAGCATTTCACCCCTGCTCCACCATCTTCCAGGAGGTGTCGCCAGGTCACCAACACCCAGTTAACAGCAAAGGTCTCCTTTTCCCAGATTGGCCAATTATGCTCAGTCTCTGTTAACTTTCATGACGTGTATGCACATGGCTGCAGTGCTCCCTCCTCATTCCTCTGTAGAAGAACTGCAGCCACAGTCACATCAGGGGCATCTTTGGGATAAGCTGGTGTTAGAAGTTGGAGAACCCCAGAAAGCTTTGTAACTGCTTTCGGGTCTTAGGCACCTGCCAGTCTATCACCTGTCTCACCTTAGAAGTGTCCTCCATAATATGCCTCCCGGAGATCCAGTTTAGTAAACACGCTTCCCTCGGCCAACCGGGCCAACATGTCCTTCATTAACGGCAGTGGATACAGCTGTTTTATGCACACTGTTAATCCCTCAGAAATCCACACATAATCTCAACCCACCATCCTTTTTCTCTTGAAACAGGACAGGCGCAGCACTTGTTTTCACTAAAGGCGTCTTTTAGATCGGCCTAGACCTCTGGATAACCCAGGTCTCCGGGTTTCCCTGACTGTGTTAGAATATTATATTTCTCCAAAGAAGAAATGGAGAAACATGTTCTTAGAGGCAGAAAGCAGCCCCCAGTCTTTCTTAATAGCTTACAGCAGATGCTCATTAAGAAATCCTGGGCCAGCCTATTCACAAACAAAATACCTTCACCTCCAGGTGATGGGATTAAGGACAGGACATGACCTTAACCTATGCATTGGAAAAAGTGGAAACAATACTGGTCTATGAAGGAAGGAACACTGGAGGCAATAGATAATAGGGTAAAATCAATTACAGGGGTGAAATCCTCCATGGGTTACTAGCGGTTCGCCTGCTTGCACATGCACGGTGCCTGCAAGATGCATGATGTGTGCCCACAGACGCAAAATGCACACGCACATCAAATGCATCATTTGCACAGAGAAACAAACCATTTGACGGTAAGTACAACATGGAGGGGGGTAACAGCTGTGTCACTCAGTACAAATTCGCTAGAAAGCAAGATTTCCTGCTTTCTAGTGAATATATATCACGCGGCACAGTTGATCGTCTGATATACCAGTTCAGACCAACTGGTAGCTTTTTTTTACTACCAGTTTGCTGAACCAGTAGATTTTATCACTACCGGTTCACCTGAACCAGTCTGAACCGGTAGGATTTCACCACTACAAGGAAGTCATAATTAAGACCCATCATGAGCCTTTGCGAAACAAGTAAAACTAATCAAATAATAAAAGCAAACAAAGCAAAGCTCAGAATTACAAAATACTGTAAACTGTATAAAAATCCTTGCACTCATCAAGCTACTTTGTCAGCTGTCCCAGAACTGCATGCTGTGGTTCTGCTCATCAATAAACGTACCTTCTTTCCTAAGCAGCTAGCCTCCATTTTATTTCCAGAGCCTCTCTCCCCGCTTAGAACTGAACCAGATGGATATTTCTTCCAACATCCTGCTCTGATCTTTTCTTCTTGGCGATACCTGCTTGTTACCCCGGTGGTAGCAGCGCCAAGATGCTGACAAATTTGTTGCAACAGCCTTAGTGTTTAAGCTCTGAGAAAGAAACTCTACGATGGAAAATGTTTCATTTCTAAAAAAAGCATTGTGCTGCTCTTTAAATAGCTTTTGAGAATGAAAGAAATGGGTATTGTCAGCATTGCTGTGAATGTGGGGGTAAAGCTGTCTTCCCAACACACAGGAGATGTTTCCATTTCTTTCATTCCTCTCTCAGGGCTTCTTAAAAATTTCCAAATAATCTCGACAAGTAAAGAGAGGAACAATAATTGGAGCAGAGAACTGGAATTTTAGCTCTGCAGTAGCTTCAAATTTCATCTTCTCTTGATCTGATTCCCTGTACCCTTCACATTCCATGTCATTATTTTTATTAAACCCATTTAAACTGTAACTTTTTTAATCCTTTCCCCTCCTCTTCCTTTCTGTGCCCAGATCCCAGCACCAATCTCCCACATTCCAAACAACATTCAACATAAAAAAAATAAAATAAAAAGGGACAAAAGACACATCAAACATTAAATAACAATCAGTCTTCATCCCCCACATCCTCAATTGGTTTCTGCCTCTATAAAGAGAGTGGGAGAGAGGGGACGTGCTAATGGTCGGGTCACTTCTTTCGGGTAGTCTACTTAAAT